CAACTAATTTCTCTGAAAATTATTTTATTTACTATTTAAATGATAACAATATTGACAATGTGAATGCCAATATATTTAATATAACTATTTGATTTCATAATAAGAATAAAATTGCAAACTGTAACATATTTTGCAATTTGCTTATTTGGAACATGCATTAAAAATGCTTCTTCCAAAAGAAAAGTGTCGCATAAAAATAAAAAACGTCAGAATAATGAAAATATAAAGACCTAATTCTTGACAATGGAAAAAATGTAAATAAATTTTGTATCGTTTAATTCATTCGTATTGCAGGAAAAATCAAAAAAACATACATAGCATTCCACATCCAATCAAGTTTTGCATCCTGCATGCATTTATTGATGATAACATCGAAAGTAAAACGGCGTTAATATGCGTTCATATCTAACAATATAACATCGTAAAGAGATTACAGAAATTATAATATATATGTGCATTCAATTATATCAACGTCATTAAATTCAATTTAGCAATCTAAATGCTATAATATTTGGTGCGGTGAAACAAACTTTCATCATGAACATGTAAATTGATTAAATGGACTGAGTTAAAATACGGAAACAAAAATTCCGATCAATTAAATACGATATTGTAAAAAGCCATATAATAAAGAGAAATTTTAATGTCACCATTCATAATAAATTTTATATATTGTCACGTCAGGATTGTTTGTAAAGAGATTGCTATTGTTACGCGTTGTTTAAGAAAAATTAAGAAAAAAGAACATCCTTGTAGCATAATAATTTTAATAAATACAATGCTAGTATTCAGTCTTCTGATAATGAGGCAGAACTCTCATTACGAGAGAAGACGAAGAAAGTGAAGAACAATATAAAAAGATTATTTTTATGTCAAAATACAAGATAGATAGAAGTGTTTATGTGTAATATATTGTACATAGTATAGTAGATTAGTGAAAAAGAAGATGCTTATAATGTGCGAATTAAACAATAGAATATATACATCCTCGTTAATTACTGCTAATTTACTTACTAATTAAAATTACTCAAAAGAAGAAAGAAAAAAAACCAGGCTGTGCAAAATATAACACGGAGTGGAAAAATACTTGCATAGAACTTTTTCCTAATTCTTTCATAGTGATCTGATGTCCTATAGATAGTAATTCTTGTATTTATAATAAATCTATAATATGCAACTGTAATAAATAATTAAATATTTTGATTTACCTTAAACAATTTATAACATGTATACTGACATCTAATGAAGTCACACAGTTACATTTCGTCGAATGTAGAAAGTCCTCATAATACTGAGAATAACTGTCGAAAATTACTATCTATAAATATCGTCTATATTTAACCAATTTTATTATTAACGTTATAAAAATTATAAAGCGCACATTTATTTTAATTATTAAAATTATTAAAGAATATATACGCCCGGAAACTTCGTTACAAATTCAATCTTTTTTTTGTCTTACAATCATTTAATAAAGGCAAATAATGTAGTAGCTTCGGCAAAAATTTTTTTCATAATTTGTGCACAAATTGGAACACCTGTCAAAAATACTGCAAAATTCTATGTTTTCCTAGAATTTTTTAAATGTGAATTCCAAAATATATTGTAAAATTTATAAGATCTCTCATTCTGTACTTCTAGAAAAATACTTCAAACTTTTTCAGGTTTCATGAGATTTTATGAGACTTCTTCTTATGCTTCTGCATAGTTTTCTGACCCTAATGAGACTTAATAGAATCAGAAATCTTAGAAAAATGTTTTAAAATTCACATATATGAAAAATTCTAGAAAAGATGTAAACTTTCTCTACATTGAAAAATGTTGCAATTTGTACAAAAAGTCTGAAAATGTTCTAAAGAGTTATAAAATTATTCAAAAATTTTGAAAAAACAGAAATTATTTAAAAAATTATCACTCGATGTCTAATTTTTATTTTGAAGAGTCTATCTTGCGCTATTGAAAACAAGGATAGCGCTGATTACATGCGTGTATTGGCATATCGAAGATCCGATCAATCACTGATGTTCCAATCGAGGACGTTAAAACGGCAAAACATCAGCGATTGGTTGGATCTTCGATACATGAATATCACGAATCGTGCATACAACGATCGTCTTGGGCATTAGTTTTCTGATTGCTAGTTTTCTCCGGCTTAAAAATCGAAGATTTTATTTATCTTGCTGAAGATCATCTGCTACTTTCGAAATTGTTACTGTAATGTGTTCTTTCAAAAAACTAGGGATGTGCGATCTCCATTAATTGAATCGATCTCTGAATCAGTCTTGAATCGGATTGATTAAAATCGATCTACTAAAAAATGCTGAATAAATCGATTTATTGGAGATCGATTTAATTAAAATTTTTTTTGTAACATCCCAGTAAGATACAACAATAGAATAGATATTGAATCGACGTCAATTTGATGATTTCAGCGTTGAATCGACATTGATTCCATTGTCATTTCTCATTGAGATCGTATAAATTCAACAAAAACAATTAAAACATGATTTTGATTTGCCTCCGAGTAAAATAATTTTAATTTAAAAATCTAGATTTAAATTAACATCCATAGTTCTGGTAAATCAACTAATACTGACGTAAAGTCAATGAAAATCGTATACATAGTGTCTAGCGGTATTCTAAAAAGGTCAGAGTGTGAAAAAAAAGAAAAATTGTGTTTGAGCATAAATCCTTTCTTAAAGATACAATAAGAGTTATCAATAGACTTGAATTTAATATCTAAAATAGCACATAATAAAAAAATCGTTTATGTTGACGGAACGGTCATTTGATATTATTTATAAGGCAATAAATAATATTGTCCTATAATTTGTTAACGTTTTAATTTATTCGTATAGAATTCTAACTTAAATACAAAGCGTATAATATTGCACGAATCGACGGAAATTAATTTAATAATGAAAATTAATCGAAGGATAAATCTTTGAAAAACTAGGATTTTTATTTGGAATGTCTAGATTTTGCTGGTAAACGCGTTAAATAACGCGTTCGGTTTTATATATATAATTGTGTCAATTGGTGTTATAAATTAGAATTTTATTAGCATTTATTTATACAAATCGATCTTTTTGCAAAAAGATTTTTTAGTATTTAGAATATTCTCAAATTCTAATTATTTTTTTGCTATGATGTATTTATGTCAATTTTGAATGTTATGTACAATATTAAACATTGTTTACTGCACCATTATATATATTGTTTAATGTATCAAAAGGAGGAATAAATTTGTAGTACATCCTCCTTTATAGATATATTTTTTCAGGAAGGATTATAAAGGGGATCATAAAAGGTTCGTAAAAAGGAAGGTATTTGCATGCTGTGCAAATTGAAATAGTTATTTATCTAATCACAATCAGAGTGTATACATCTGCTAATTTACTTAGAGCCGATTGTTCTATCTTTTGATAAATTTTACCTGTGAAATAAATCTGGCAATCCACGTATGTAATTGAGTAATCTTGCTACTTACCCAACACATAAAATTTACCAAAAGATGGAACAACCGGCTCTTAGTGATTAAAATTAAACAAAAGAAAATAGAAAAAACCAGACTGCAAAATATAACAAGGGGAGACACTCCTAAGACACTCGTATATAATTTTTTTCTAACTCTTTTATAGTGATTTAATGTCTTATAGAGAATAGTTTTGTATTTGTAATAAACTATAATATGTAACTGTAGTATATACTGTGATTTTTATTTATCTCATAAACAAGCTACAACATATCGATATAGTAATCTAATAAAGTCACATAAATCACATCACATAATTACATTGTATCGGGTGTAAAAAATCACTCACTGGGAATTACTATGTAGTACGAGAATGACTATCTACAAATATTGTCGATATCTCATAAATGTCATAATTAATATTCTAAGAATTTTTATGTAGATTTCTATTTTTTTTCCTATTATAACTCTCATCAATTGTAAAACGTGCAATATAGAAAATTTGCGTGATCACAGTCGCGCAGATACGAAAAATTTTATCATCAATTGCATAGAAAACTGCATAAAAGTTCTCTATATCTGCGACATATTGTAATGCTTGAAATTATCGAAGAGTGTACTTGAAAATTATTTTTGTTAGAAATTCAATTTTTTGTCTTATACAATCGTTAATAAAGACAAATAATAAATAATTCTGTATTATCTTACAGTTTTTGTTATAGGTTTTCTTTATATTTCATCGAAGTACGGAGATTTCTGTATCTTTATTGGTTTAGGTTTTGGCATCAACATCGTGCCCAGTTCTGTCAGGAGCCACTTTGTCGCGCGCAGTACCATGAAATGTACCGCGAATTGTAAGATAAGGGCACCGAATCCTTTGTACAAACCAAGTGGCCCTTCGGTGGAGATTATTGTGCGGTAACAATCGGTCGCGCTGGTATATCCAGTCAATAACGGCGTGACACTTCTTCCAGTGTCCAAGTTGTCAATAATGGTGCGTGTTCCCTGAAGATGTAATCGATGAATAACAGTTTCGAGAGGATAAAACACAATATCGGCCACACATATCGAAACTAGTATAGATTGTGTCTCTATATCCTGGATGATGCTCTCGGATAGCAAGTCCTTACTGTACGCACCCTAAAATAATATAATATTTCTGTGTAAAAATATATCTCTATGCATCTTTACTTTCTAAACTATTTAGAACCAGATATATACCTTTGCTTCTTGCGAATGTTTATGCCTGACGTGCATAATCCGACTAGTAACCCCTTTCACAATGAGAGTGAAAAGATATTTTGATACTCCATAAACTATAGTGGGTGGTACGAGGGCATAAATTGGAATGAGTCTACCCTTATTACATACATCAAGCAGACGGATTGCACCGTCTCGAAAAACGTCTAAGATTCCAGGACATTCAGAAGCAATCTCGGACTGGACAGTTTCCACGAGCGATGCAGAATAGAAGGGAGTAACTATACCTATGGAGATGCTGTAAAATAGAAGATTATAGATCATTAATAACTTGTGTGAATCGTTCTAATATAATAATTACCATTTGATTAATATAATAATTACCATTTGAGGAGTATATGTTGACCGAATGCTTTCATCGAATTGTTATAAGTGATCTTCCTGAAATCAAGTGTCTAGTTTTAAGGAGAAGATAATTTCACGAATAATTTATGAAACATCAGCCATCCCGTTTGATGATTGTCTTACTTTTGCCACGGTGTGATTTTCGAAATCAGATCCTCGACAGCCATTGTCATTCCTCTGACAAGTAAAACTGAACCGATCCCTTTCCATAGTGTATTTATACCTTGAGTCTGGTGTAAACGTACCATCACAGGTACTAGAGTTATGGGCATCAGATGATACCTGGACGCACTTGGATTGACTTGACATTGTCTCCGTAACACCACGAAGGGATGAATCAGCAGGTTTCCTGTGATCAAGCTCACTAATCCACAACCTAATCCAACATACTTGCTGACAGTGATATCTGCAAGTAGATAGTCAAACAAATTAAATATATATCCAACAAACACCAACTAACAATAACTATTAGTTATAACTTCTCATTCAACAATGATATAACTATAATATAACATATAACAGTTATATAACACATAAGAATTATTTTATTGAACAACAAGAAATTGAACAACTAATAGTAATTGTTATTGTTAGTTGGTGTTTGCTAATAGGTTTAAGTCTTAGTTTAAGGATGATCAATCAGTGGACATCCTTCGCGGAATTTCGATCGATCAGCGACTAAAACGAGAACGCGACTTACCGTCGTCGACGACCGATGGATTGTCTTCTGCTAGTGGATGGATAACGGGTATGTCCAAAGGGCGGATAACCTCTCGACCGTGGTACCTCTGCGGATAGGATGTCCCCGCTGTCTCCCACGATCTAGCAGATCGGCCTCTGTAGACATCACCGTAACCTTCTAATCCCGCCATTCTTCTTACGCGAAATAAATCAACTAGCTCGTTTTGCTAGACATTTACTTCAATTTACTCCAACTAGCGGACTTCCCTGTCACACTATTGAGTCCATCACTCGGCGGCGGCCATCGCGATTCTACTGGATCAGTCATCAGCTGATCTCAGGCGTCTCAGCTTTTAAATCCTGCTGAGACGCTGCATTTTGAAACCGACATATAATAGGATAATCAATTAAAATACTTATATATACTAAACAATAATTCTATTATATTAATAAAATAGTACAGTTGTTGCTCGTTAAGTTAATTATCAGTAAAGTAATTGAAGTTTGGTCAAAAAATCAGTCGTAAAGACTAATAATTAAGTCTAAAATAAAAAGTAGAGCAAACGGATAAAATTAACTAATTAATTAAATTGATACATTAACGGTAAAAATAATCGCATGTTCTTTTTCTTTTCCTCTTTTTTCTCCCCTCTCTCTTTCTTACTGTTGCTATTTTATTACTATTACTACTATTATAATCACTACTACTACTACTATCACCGCTATTAAAATTAAGAGACTTAAAATATGGAAATATTAAAAAGCTGGAAATCCTGAAAAATAATTAGAACATAATATTAATATTTTCATGCCTTTTTAACTATCTTATGGACAAAATTTATGATTCGTTACAACATGAATGTTACACACAATTTTGTAGACGGAATTCTGATTCGCATAACTTTGTGCAGGATAAAAGAGAATACAAAATCATTTCAGTGCGCATGTTATACAATTGTAAAAATTCTTGAACAAAACTATTTAACGATCTGAAAAATTACGGCGTGCTGTTATAGGAATAAACGTTTATCAATTCTAAATTTATAGAGATCTATATATACATAATTGACTTACATTTTGTATGTGATGTATAAAGCTAATGATTCAAGTAAAAGAAGGGTCCTTTCGGCATCTCTCTATCTTATGAAAAATTCTGATATAAAATTTTATGCTATATTTACATCTATAGACATATTTAATTTAACAGAAAATTTGCTTATTTTAAAACCACCTGTGATAATCTAAGACTTAATCTTTTACTGCTCTTATAATTTACTGCTCTAATTTTTTAAATTTTGTAAGTACCAAAAAAAATTGCTAATTGTAAGTACCAAATACTATTTCTTATATTTATTTAGTATATTGGAATGACCTATATACGGATCTTTGCGTAAATTATGATTAATTACAAATTATTCGTTTTTTGCTACAAATGTAATAAGGTATTGCTGAAATCTAAATAATTTAGAAAAAAAGTTCGATGTCTCTTTTTCTCGGGGGGATAATACATTACTTCGTATAATTTTTATTTTAACTGAAAATAGAATAGGAGAAGAAAACACTTCTTTTTCTTAGATTTCAGCATTTGCATAACTAAACTACATAATACAAATAAAAAAAAAATTCATCATATACAAGTAAATCCTAGCTAGAATTAAATAAGAACAAACCGCTAAAATATCTTTCGTTATTTTAACGTTCACATGTTTGTTCTTAACGTGATGATATATATCTATAAATATAATATATACAGTAGTTTTGAACACTGATATTTTCCTTTTACATTCATTCTTGTGAAAGTTAACAATTCAAAAAGTTTCTCTCTACGCTTTCTTACTTCATTTAAAACCCTGATATAATTTTCTGATGTGTTTACGTATTTATAACATTTCTTATGATTCTAAAAAATTGCATTCTGTTTCTTAAACATTTATATGATATATTTATAAAATAATATAATTATCATCAGAAAGTAACACGTTTCTCTAATATAAAAATATACAATAAAAATATAAGTACATATTCCATACTTGGACCCTGATTCTTACTTTCGTAAATTTCAGCACTTAAAAATTGCTTTCATCTTATTTTCCTTTCACCGAAAATTTGTTTAAACTATACAAAATCCAGTAAATTTACCATGCATTGTGTAATTTTATATCGTTTAGCATACAAAAACATTCTGTCACGTTTCTTTTGGTATTATATCACTCCATTCAGGTCGAATAAACTCCAAATCGCTACCATCCTCGGAACTGTTGTCGTCATCAAAATATGGCATGGTAACTTTATTATCATTTGGCGGATATCCTTCACAACAGAAATTAGGATTAGAATGACAAGATTATTTGAAAAATTATCTCCACGCTTCCCGCTAAGTATTATGGCATATTGATATAATTACCATCTATCGGTCTTCGAAATATCTCAATTTCTTTCTCATCGTCATCGAAGAAGCTACCACCATCCTGCAGTAAACTAAATGCATATCCCTTTCTGTTCTTCTCTTCATCTTCCGAAGCTCGACACCTCGCGCAGATACACATGCAGCACAAGACAACGCCGAAACATATCATACCTGCAATCAGATGATTATGTCATTACAAATCTTCATTAATCTTGTAAGTTTTATTAAACATCTCTCTTGCAACTGACTTACTTGTTATTATAATGAATACTAGTCTAGGTATTCCTATGATACTATCATCGCGAACGAGCTTGAATATTAATCTTAAGTGTTTCATCGTCTCGAATGTGGGTGTGGAGATAAGGTTGGTTTCCGCGTGATATCCGGACACCGTGGCCGTTATATTATGACTTCCAGGAGGCAGTAAAATTGAATAGAAGCCTGACTTGCTGTTTTTAATTAGATGCGGTGACATGTCATAAGACAAGACAACGTTCTCAATCGGTACGTCCTCTTCATTGGTGACATATCCTCTCACACCTTTCTTCATTTCCTGTATGCAAGCTAGTAAACTATCTTTGTTCTCCTGCCACACGACGATCGAGTAATCGGTGGTGCAACAAGTGACATACACGTCCATCATTAAGGTGCTCGTGTTGAAGTAGGCATAATCTATTAAGGGATGACCCCTTTTTCCGCCAATTCCCTTCGCTGCGTGTATCACGCTATTATCACCGATGTTGGAATCCTGTTCGCATCTTGTACTCGCAGACAGCTTGTTCGCTCTCGCATTGGCGTATACTGAAGCCAAGTGTTGCAGTAAATTCTCATCATCGCTCTCGTATTTTTGCTCGCGTATCTTTCCATAGTCACGACCAAACGGAATTTCGATATGCCGCGACCCACTATTGAGATTTACAGCTAACACGGCGTTTACATCTTTAAACCAGTTTGCAATCCATTTCGCTTTTTCATTCAGCTTTTCATGAATCGGAAACTGCAAGCCTTTCAGCTGCGGCGAGCAGATGGTATTCTCGTTAGGATCGGATGAGAATTCTGGAACTATATATATGGAGAAATCATCGATGTAACGCATAATCGTATTGTCTTGCTTATAATTGTCCAAGAGATATGAGGCGAAATGTAAGAGCATCCCGGCAGTCACTGGTTCCGCCCGTAGGATGCCGGCCGAGAAAACGATGGCAGGTCGTCCTATTTGTTTCTGATCGTTATTAGAACCGATCTCCAAACACATTATCTCGTTATCCTTCGTGGTTTTGCCGATGCTATGCAAGGTGGTCTGTCGCGGATATTTCGCATTCAAATCGGTCAAAGCACGGTTGACGAAACTCAGTTTCTCAAGTGGTTTCTTGTGATGATCGTCAAGCGATGGCATTTTTTTTTGTTTTAATTTAACGTCAATAATTGTTATGCTTTGTTGTTGCACAGAAACTTTCAGTATCTGCGTAACGTATCCTTCGCATGAAATCGTTAAGGTATATTCACCGGGCACCAGAATCATTTTGAAGTAAGCCATGTTGTGCGACACGCCGTAAGTTCTTCTTCCAATTTCAACGTTGGCTTCTCGAAGCGGAATATCGTATTTGTCCGTTATCATCACGCGGATTCCGGTCGTGAGACTCTGCACAAGTTCCATAAGCGATTGCAGATTCTCACGCCAAATGACGGAGATCGAGTCCGCGGGCGGATACTTACAACACGATAGACTTATGCTCATCTACACACAGATATTTAGAATAAAGTTTAGCAATGAAATTTATTATAAAAATATAAAGAGAAAAATAACAAATAAAAATTATGCCTACTACTGGCGGGCCGTAAACGTGTTGTATAAAATTCGTCAAATGTTGTGTACTGTTATTCGAATGGCTGCATGTCTCACTGTCTTTCGAATACTCGTAGGCACGGGCGAGCTTTCTAAACGTGTTCAGATTGTCGTCTGAATAACTGAACAAGAAAAATTGATTAGGGATTTCATGCTAAATTTCTTTGCGATTTATGCTTATAAATTGTCATACATTGCATTACCTGATTTTCGAAGCACCACCTCCTAGTATTACAACAGCATCGTAATTTTCAGTTCGTAACATAGTCTTAAACGCATTCGCAATTCTATCTGTTTGTTTGGACATATCAGTATTCTCTTCTAACAACTTGTTTCCTACTTCGTTGTCGACTACAGGATTGCAATCCTCACTCTGTTCTAAATTATCGAATCCTGGATCGATACTAGGAATGAAATGCAGCATAGCATCATTCAACATCCTCTGAATAGGCGGATTACCAATTTGATTTCCTTTGAGGATATGTGTCGCCAAACGTAATAGAATTTCTCTGCCCGCCGGCTGAGAAGCAAACAATCCTCCCACCAATGCGACGCGAAATTTATTCTCATCAGGTGATCCCATCTAAAAAGGACGATTTTTATTTATATAAATACAGAACATTATAATGGATAAATATATTGTCGTTCAAACTCACATCATGCGTGACTTTCAGTGAATGAATGGCTATGCTGATCATTGAATCACCAGCTAGAAATTCGGCAGTATCAGACTGATGATTTTCCAATTGGCTGAATCTAGCGTTCAAGTCAGAATTTTTTAAATAACCATTCTGCAAGTTTACTCTCAATCCAAAATCATATGCGGATGACCTGGTAGATATTCGTACAAATAATTCATTTTCTTATTATTTTTTACATTTCAGAAAGCATACATATATACAATATTAAACGATATAACTACTTGAAGAAACACGCAG